CTATCTATAAAATCCACAATATTTTAGCAAAGCAAAACAGCCAGAAAAATAATCTAAAAGTTTCTTGTTTTAATCTGCAGATGTCTGCCTATGAACTTGGTGAAAGAAGACCTGCTAGGGATCCACAAGGACAGGATGAAGATTGGAGCCAGCCTTGCTGACGTGGACCCTATGCAAATTGACAGGACGGTAAGCTGCATCCAAATATGGACTGATGCAAACACAGTAGTCAGAAGTAGTCTGATAAATAAGGTGTTGACATGATGACAAATATTACTGTATTGACATAAATGTAGCACTTTAGGGTGCTTCTTCAAAAATAAAATAATAAAGTTAGCAGATATGCCATATTTTGCATCCACATTCCAATAGGATAATTACTGAGAAGACCAAAAGCAAACAATTTAAACAAAATACTATTTGTCTTCCAGGTGCGTTTTGAAAGCATTGGAGGTTTGAGCAGACACATCTCAGATCTCAAGGAGATGGTAGTCTTCCCTCTCCTCTACCCAGAAGTCTTTGAGAGGTTCAAAATACAACCTCCAAGGTAAACAATGGGTGTTTGTTGAGATGATAACGTGAAAATGTAGTTTAGTGTTCATATTTCATTGTGACTTAAAATGTAATTCACTGCAAGTGCTCCAAAAGGAACAGACTCATGCTTTCCCTTTATATCTTGTCAAAGAAGTCGTATACTTAAGATCCCAAGTTCTGTAATACAGGAGAGAGCTTTGTTACCATTGGATTGGATTGGATTGTTTTTGGTCAATAGTGTATAACCCTTTCTCTGTCTTAGATGGTTTCTTTCTTTTATCTCTTTGTCCCTTCAGTCTCTTCTCTACCACTACCTCAGACTTTACTTTTATTTTAGTGGCGGTTGAACTCCAATAAAATCCCCAATTTTGTTCTCTGTCATGTTGTCTCTTATCTTTAGGGGCTGTCTGTTTTACGGTCCTCCAGGCACAGGGAAAACCCTCGTAGCCAGAGCACTAGCCAACGAGTGCAGTCAGGGTGAAAGAAAGGTGTCTTTCTTTATGAGGAAAGGAGCTGACTGCCTCAGTAAGTGGGTGGGAGAATCTGAGAGACAATTACGACTGCTTTTTGACCAGGTAAACCAAACTCCTCATCAACGTACAACATGCTTTTGGGATGGATGGAGATTGTCAGATTTAGTTTTTTCTGCTATTGTTGCAAGTGTGATTGACTTCTGTCGTCAACAAAAAAGAAACCTGTCAACAAAGAATATCAGAAAACATTTATTGTAACACATTAACTTGTAGATAATTAAAGCCCTGCACAGTGTCAAGTGTCAGTTCTGAAGATAATGTTATCAGCAACTAGCTTAATTCTTATTGAATTGTTCTCAGGCATACCAAATGCGTCCTTCCATCATTTTCTTCGATGAGATTGATGGTTTGGCTCCAGTCAGGTCCAGCCGTCAGGACCAGATCCACAGGTGAGCAGCACCCCTGTTCTTATGTTGTACGGCACACGTGGGGTGATTGTACTGAGATTAATGTGTATAATGAGCAGAGTGGAACAATGGAAATTTATAGCAGATTGTGCGGTGGGTTGCCAGATATGGCTGCTAGATTTCTAGATAAATAAATAAACATAAATAAATTAATTAACCTTAATCAGCATTTAGCTTTGACGTCACAAGCCGAGTTCATGCTTCATATGAGAACAAGTTGCCATCAGACTACTGAGGTGATTGGTGGCCGATGAGAAAAAAGAGCTTGTAGGTGTTGCATGTATCAGGAAAGGAAAGCCCTTGATTTGCAGTAAATAAATAATAAATAAATAATTCCACTCAGTTTACTGCAGTTATATTATCTTTATTGTTGGGAGATAGTGTTGACCAGGTAGAAAACGTATTCTTTTTTTCTGTCTCTGTAGTTCCATTGTGTCGACCCTGTTGGCTCTTATGGACGGATTAGACAGTAGAGGAGAGGTTGTTGTGATCGGAGCTACAAACAGACTGGACTCCATCGACCCAGCTCTGAGAAGACCAGGGCGCTTCGACAGAGAGTTTCTCTTCGGCCTGCCAGACAGAGAGGTGAGAAACTGTAGAGGTCCTTTAATGCTTAGCAGAGATTTAAAAAAAAAAAAGACAGAACATAGAAATGTGAAATGAGTTTAGGTTAAAACAGTAGAAGCCCTTTAGCTTGCATATATTTGACCTGACTTTGAAATGCTGTGATCTTATTTTGTATGGCAGGCAAGAAAGGACATTCTGAAGATCCACACAAGACTTTGGTCTCCGCCACTATCCGCCACTTTTCTGGAGGAATTGGCAGATAAATGTGTTGGTATGTTTGCATATGATGGAGAAACAGTGGTCCAACAACGTGTACAATGCAAATCTTACTAAACTTCCCCAGGACAAATAACAATTACAGTAGATTAAAATTGTCAGTACTGTTAGACTTGATTTGAACATTAGAGAAAGAGATTTCTATTCAGGAAGTGCAACATCTACTGGAAATGATACTGGTATAAGCCCAGGACAAAACCAATATCTCAGAACTAAAACTATTCTTTATCTCCATTCAGATCATTTGCACAGGAGAAACACTGGCACAAGTACTTGCACACCTACAACTACAGATTGAACACTGATAGTCTACAATCTGTCTCTTTTTGTTTGCCAGGTTATTGTGGAGCAGACATCAAAGCAGTGTGTTCAGAGGCTGCCTTGTGTGCACTGCGGCGTCGCTACCCACAAATCTACTCCTCATCACAGAAACTTGTGCTTGATGTCAACTCCATCGCTATCACAAACAAAGACTTTATGTCTGCCATGTCCAAGATGGTTCCTGCTGCCCAGAGGTAACCAACCTGTATATTAGTAGAAGAGTGTAAACATCATTTTTACGTTTTCAGTGGTTCTTGCATATGGTTGGTTCTGTTGTAAGTATGACGCTTATTGTGATTCTTAGGGCAATAGTGTCACCAGCAAAGGCCCTGATACCTGCCATTCGTCCTCTGCTGAACTCCACCCTGCAGAACATCCTCCACACTGTCAGCAGACTGTTCCCACACGCTGAGCAGGGCTTAAAGAGGAAGAGAGAACTAGGTGTGGTCTTGTTTCCGAAGAATTACCGAAGAGAACACACCTAGAGTGATTGTTCATTTGCCAACCGCTTAGGGCATCAGGAATAACTGCTGCACTGTGGGTTTGTGCATGTGTGTCTATTTTCAGATGCAGCCTGTGGCGTGTTTGAGGATGATCTGATGTTCAGTGAGGATGAGGACTCAGAAGTCAGTGGACAGACCTCTCACTCCCAGCTCAGAATACCTGCTGTTACGGGACTTCTCAACCTCAACAGGTTGGTTCGCCATTATTCAGGAAGGAATGTTAAGCAGGGGTTCATTTGTCTCTTCATTCTTTCAGACTATGACTGCCTTTATAAATAATCATTTCTATGATGATGATATGTCTTAAGGCCCAGACACACCAAACTGACTTCAGCGAACTAGCAGTGACAAAGGCCTCCTGCTGCGTCGCCTGATGTCACTGCGTCTCTGCCCAAAAAAGTTGCACATGAACACACCGCAAAGACTGCAGCAGACAAGCGGTAGTCTGTAATCCTCAATCAAAAAGGGAAACCAAAAGACAGTCTTGACACTAGTTAGCACATTAACAACACAATCCAGTGTTAAGAACAGAGCATATTTACCATGTGACAGTGAACTTTGTTTTTGTTTTTTGTTTTTTTGTTTTTTTTTTTCCTCGTGCACTGAGCTGAACTGACAATCACATTGATTTCATTCACTGACGGGCTCCACTGTCACCGATGCTGATTCAACAAAAGCCGATGGGGGCCGCGAGGGGCGACGAGTGCGGCAGAAGCTCACCAACGGCCCGTCTTTGACCAATGGCTGACTGTCATCTTGATGTGTCAGGGGCTTTAGGCATTAACACAATGTAGTGTTAAGTCTTGCAGTTGTCTCACTTCTATTCCCTCTTTTTTACCTTAGCTTTACTTTAGAAGTGCTGCGAGCTGTCATGTGTCCCACTGACCCAAATCCTTCTGAAGATCTTTTAGGCGAATTAATGAGTCCTTTTCTACCGCTTTATCCAACTGAGTATATCTGTCATCTGTCGGCTTGTAGGAGTGTGCTGAGCCACCCGACCTCCTACCGTCCCAGGCTGCTGTTGGAGGGCAGACCAGGCTCAGGTCAGAGCTCCCACTTGGCTCCTGCCGTCCTCCACGCTCTGGAGAAATTCACTGTGTACACACTGGACATGGCTGTGCTGTTTGGAGCCAGCGCAACTGCACCAGAAGAGACTTGTGCTCAGGTAAATGAGATACTGGCATGCAAAATAAAACAGTAACTTAATATTTATGTACATGTTTAGTAACATTTGACAGTTCATAAGAATTGAGGGAGTTCCAGGGGATCCCTAGAAGACTTGGGAATATATATTTTTTTCTTATTCATATTTTAAGTCACAATGGGAGTGAAGTGAGTAAGAGTCATAAGAGTGACCATTCTGATCATAGGTTTTACTGCTGCTGCAGCTATTTCCTCAACTGTAGTTAACAACTATAAAATCACCTAAATCTTTACAGACTAGAGTCCCTGAAGTGACATCTCATAAAATGGGGTCCATGACATAGTGTTTATTAGTTTAGGTGTCCTTGACATGAAAAGTTTTGAGAGCCACTGGACTACAGGTAGTCTTTACTCTTGCAGCCTTGTCAAATTCAGTGAGTCTTTTTCAGTGGACTTCACTGGCCAAAATGGCTGCCACAGTGAATGTAGTTCATGGGCCCCACTCCTTACATCGTGGGTAGTGGGGATAAATATGTACTACAGACAAATACTCAGTGAAAGAGCCATGATGATGATGGCAGTGAATGAGGCATCAGGTTACTAAAAGAGATGTCTGGAAGTTGCTTATTTATTATCACCAGCAGTCAAAAAAACACAAAGTATAAGATTTACAGTTACATTAAATTGAAAAAAAAAACCAAAACAAAACAAATGTGTTGGGTTTTTTCTCCCATTTTTATTTTGCTTAAAATGACAAGTCATTCATTTTTAAAGTGGTTGTTCAAACTAATTGACTGTTTCTTCCACCATTGGTTTAATGCCACCGTACATCTCCTCTCTACTCTTTAATGTCCTCACCATACCTTTGATTTATGCATTTAGCCTTTATTGGCTCATCATATTGTCCCCCATCTTATGTATCTGTAAGTTTACATTCAGTTTTTTAAATATCCATTTCATATATTAATGCGTCTATGTCATATGTTCTGTAGATCTTTGTTGAAGCAAAGCGGACCTCTCCCAGTATCCTGTACATCCCTCACATTGGACAGTGGTGGGAAACAGTGGGTCCGGCCTTAAGAGCCACCTTCCTCAGCCTGCTCAGCTCCATCCCTGCCTTTGCTCCTATACTGCTTCTGGCTACGTGCAACCTGCACTATGACCAACTCAGCGTGGAGGTATGGGAAGCAGAGTGACACCCTGTTGATTTAGAGTGGTGATACATGAGGGTACAACATTTAAGAAAATAGTTGTGGAGTAAAAATAAGATGGTTATATGTAAAAGAATGCTCTCTGACAGACAAAATACTCATCATCAAGTCTTCTCTCACCTCTCACTTTTCATGTCTCAGGTGCAGGAATTGTTTCGGATGGAGTACGGAGAGGTTTTCCACATCAAGGTCCCCACTAGCAGAGAAAGAAGAAACTTCTTTGAGGATCTAATCCTCAATCAAGCTGCCAAGGCCCCTGCCTCAAAAAGGAAAGCTGGTGAGAAATAGATTGAGTGTGGTTATAATATACAAATGTAAGTGAGCTTTGTGTGATCCGTAGATAAAGTGGGCTTTAGTCCCCCTTAAACCGGGGGCTAGCATAGCATTGTTCAGGGTTCATTTTTGTTCATAGGCAGGAAAAAAGTATGCTGTGATTCTTAAAGCTTTTTTTATAACCTTTAAACAGGTAAGGTAATTTAGAACAAGCTCTCTTTTACAAGGATGCCCTGATTACAGCACATATAAAACAACAGAAGCACACAAAAATTACAGTATACGTCGACAACTTATGCAACAAACAAAATGTCAAGGACATCAATGTAAGTGACAACATCAGTTCAGAGACAGATGTATTCACACTGCTCTGTCAGTCAAAAGAGATTTAAATTGAATTAAAGGGATTAGGTTGTCTAATTGCACAAGCTTCTGCAGCTTGTTTAACTTGTGTTAACTTGATGTAAATTCATTTCTCACTTTGTATGCATCTATCAACATTCCACTTTCTTCAGTGCTAAATACATTGGAGGTGCTTCCTGTCGCCCCTCCACCTCCGCCACGTCAGCTGACGGTAGAGGAGATCCAACGACTGGAGGAGCAGGAAGAAGATACACTCAGGGAGCTCCGCCTGTTTCTGCGTGATGTCACCAACCGCCTAGCCCAAGATAAACGCTTCAAGGCTTTTACAAAGCCTGTGGATTTAGAGGAGGTAGCTGTTCCATTATTTTGTCTCATCTCATATTCCCTAATAAAGCCTTCCTTGAAGCTGAGTCACTGTTGACTTAACTGAGAAAAATGTCTGCACTCCAACAGGTCTGTTGTTGTACTGTCCTCCGTTATCCATCATTTTATCCAGTTTCAGTTTGGTCCCTTTCCCCCTACGTTGTAATCATGGCAGCCTCTTTATCGTTGTGTTTTAGGTGCCAGATTACGCCGAGGTGATCAAGAAACCCATGGACTTGTCAACAGTTCTCTCTAAGATCGACCTTCATCAGTATGGGACGGTCAAAGAGTTCCTCCAAGACGTGGATCTCATCTGGCAGAATGCCCTCGAATACAACCCAGACAGGGACCCCTCAGGTAACGCACATTGATCAGCAAAAAACATACTCACCATCCTCACAGAGAACATATACAGTTATAATACTGGCAGGATTAGTGTACTGCAACTGTTTGAGCAGAAAAGTTGCATTTTTGCTCATTTGACAGCGTGAGTATGTTTCCTCCAGACCGCCAGATCCGCCACAGAGCATGTGCACTGAAGGACACTGTCCATGCTATCATCAGAGATGAACTGGATGAAGATTTTGAGAAGATGTGTGTGGAGATCAAAGTCTCGCGCAGCACAAGAGGTAACGGCTATGTGTATTTGTGTATACGTACACATAGTTAGTAGGCAAGCATCACATAATTGACATTGTCACAGCCAAAGAGAATACACAGACACTCTGTGTGAGCTCAGTTGTAAAATAAAAACCAGTACAGATAATTTTAGTTTCCCAAGGGCAGACTTGGCTCAGTGACTATTATGTAGGGGCTAATTTTGAAAACTTTTATATAGTAGGCTATTCTGCACACGCTTCTGCTTTTAATTTGTTACTACCATATTCAGTTTCAGTTCTCCTACTCACCCAATTTATTTAAAACATTCATCTTCTCACAGAAATTACTTGAGCTTGAGCATTTATTCACCTATTTTTATTCATCTAAACCAGACCATCTGTTTTAATGAACAGAGAACCACAAAGGTGTAGAATTACCAAAAGCATTGTGCTTTCTTTTTTCTTTTTTTTTTTTTTTGACTACCTCAGATTGCTCCAATGCCCGGTTTGCTCCCTCCTTCTACCACGTCCTTCCCAAACAGTCCAAATCTCCTGCAGAGGCCAAAATCACTGACATGACCCCTCAAAGAGAGCCGGCCGGACCCACCGCTGCAGTCACTCCCAGTACAAGTGCCTCTGCTGTTACAACACCTAAAAACACAGGTAAAAACTACTGTAGATAACAAAAAATGAGATGATTTACTTAAAAAAACAACAATCACAAAAAAAATCTTTTGTTCCTTCAGCCCAAAAGAAGAAAAGACGGAAGAGTCGCTGGTCTAATGGCTTATATACAAAGAGGAGGCCTTCCTGCTCTCCTCACATGTCCAGAGATGATGCACACTTGGGGTCTGATGAGGAAGAGGATGATGGGGACGATGAGGAGGAGGTTGAGAGGGGAGGAGGAGCAGAGTGTGATGAGGGGACTGGAGGAGAGGAGGATCAGATGATGGTTGATGTGGAGTCAGTGGCTGCACCAACTCAGGAAGGTAGTTTTGGGCCTACTGCAATGGAGCAGGTATGTCAGGAGGGAGAAGAGGAGAGGAGTGAAGCTGCTGAAGATAAAGTTCTCTTATGTGAAATCAGGAATCCAGAAAATGATGAGACACAGAACGATAATGAGAAGGTGGATAAAGCTGTCACAGATCAACCAGAACAGTCAGAGGAAAATGGAGTGTTGACAAAGGCAGAAAATGAGAACAGTGAAACCACTTCAGTGAACACTACCAAGGACGGCCACGCTGAGTCAGAAGGCAATACCCAGGGGCAGTCCAGCACAGAAGAGAGGGGTGAAACTAATAGTCAAAAGCTGACAGAAACTGAGACTGAGAAATGTCAAACTGTAATTCAGGCAGATGAAAGGAACAACGAGGTAGTTACTGTAGAGGAGGCAGAGCAGAACAACCCTGCTGAACTAATGGAGGTGGAAGCAACAGATACCTCAACCACAGACGCCTCTGCTGCTGTCCGAGGGGAGGAGGATGCAGGTCCAGGTTTGATATTAACACTGTCTTACACTTAAAGCTTGGTTCATTAATTTGAGCTGTAAAGATACTAAAAGATGCATACATTCAATCCCCTAAAGCAAAAGAAAATTAATGTAGTGTTCTGGAGATAGCAAGACATAATCCCAATGTTATCAGCAGACCGTCATCTGTTACAGTTGTCTAAACACTTGTACGTATTGTCTTGTGCCTTAGAGCGCAGCGTGAGGCGCATAACTCGGGCACTAAAGAATGCCGTGCTACAGCAGCAGATGGTCGATGTTGACAAAGCTCTGCAGATCCTGGACCAGGAAACTCCTGCTCTGGTGGTGAACAGAGACAAATTAAAGGTGCGTGGGATATTGTGGGTGTCTGGCTTATTCTCAGTCTTTTTATAGTCACTGGTTATATGGGTGTTCTGCATGTTGACTACTCGTAGGAGCCCTTATAAACAGATGACAAGGTTAATTTATGTCATCTTTCCTTCATCCTGTACTCTAGGGCTTTAACACAACAGGAGAAATGTAATCTGCATGTCATTCCTCTCTTTTGTGTTTTCTCCTTAATTCTTCAGGAGCTGTTGGAGAGAGCAGTGACCAAGACTGAAGGCTACGAGGTCTACAAGCTGGAGAAACTCTATGCTCTGCTCTGCCAGAGTATCTACAGACACAGACGAGACTACAACAAAACTTCACTAATACAGGTCAGTATTTGACTGCACTCAGCCACAGACTGGCCGTTGAGAAATTTAGGAGTTTGCCTGGTGGCGAATTTGCGAATCCAAAGATAGTGAAGGAGTGGCATGTCTTATTCTGACTCTGGCTTACCCTGACATTCTTACCCTAATCAATCCCACTCCTCTTGCCAAAACCCAACCAATCCAACCAACAACGGTAATCAGTACTAGCCAATTATAGGGAGCACGGGGTGGGTCATTCCTTCGCCATCCATTCGCAGATTTGCCTTTCCTGTTATGACATATCAAAATGTCTGTTGGAGAGGAGGCTTTTGATATTCCAGTTTTCTCATGTTTTATTATTGCAGTGTTATATGAGAGGTGTGAAATCTAGTGGTGATTACTTGTACCCTTAACAGAATATTACAGTACATACAGTAGATGGTTACATTTGCCTGAAGTACTTTAATGTTTCTAATTTGTTGTTGTTTCCTGCTGTTTTCATTTGATTAGGAGTTGGAGCAAGAGATTGAAGACTTCTGTTGACTTTCCTACTGGAAGAATATAATTTTTTTTTAAATAATCATACTCATCCTCTCAGCTATGTAAATACACTTTGGTGCTATTTTCATAGAAATCTACAGGCACCTTTATTTGTGCATTAGCTAAAACTTTGTATTACATCTTTTGTTTATATTTAAATAAACAAGTTTCCTGTAAATGTTGTGTGCCTCCTTGTGTGCTCATCACGGTGGTGTGAACTTTAATGGCAAACCCTGATTCATTCGGCCAACACAGTGTTAAGGGGACTTGTCACTTGAATCAACTTGTTTTGTGTCCTCAGCCCATGTTACAAACTGTTACCTGGTATTTACCTGGTATGTGGAGGGTCTAACAAAAGAAGCTATCAAGTTGCATTATGGGAAGTGTAGGATTCAGGGATTTTGGAGTCTCACCAATGTAAGACGCATTTAAAGACACATCTCAGCATCTACTGCATCATTTTGACCATTTTCTTTGAATCTGTCTTTGACAGCCCCCCAGCTTTATGGAAGTGCAATACTGAATTGTTCCAAATCGTAGTGGAAAAGGCATTTTATCTGTAATAGCTACTCACAAAAAGAAAAACACAATTGTGCAGTGGTGTGTAAACCCCAGTGTTCTTCCGGGTATACACTGCGGTTTCTATTCTGACGTTCATTTTCTGTATTTTGGATAAAGCAGTTATATTTCTAGACCCACTGAGTAGTTTAACTTACAGCCAGCTCATTTTTCTTTTTGTTCACCGCCTGTGGTCATTTTTTAACCAATGATAAGCATAACTTTTACTAAAACATTATTTACCTACACACTCAGCTGGCTATTACCGTATTTTATTTACGCACAGGTAACGTTAGTATTAATATGTAATATGGCGCTAACAAAGCAGCATCATGAACAAGATGGAAAGCGCCTCACAGTGTAGCCAAGTTAAAAATAAAGTGGGTGTAGTTGAAATAATGAACAGTGAAGTCTAAACTGCAAAACAAGACGAGATCCGGTGTTCAGAGAGGAGACTTAGCAATGTCAGTGTTGTCCTCAAGTAGCTTCTCTTCTGCTGCCCTGACAGGTCATGTAAGGACAGGTTGGCAGACAGCCGGGTTTGGAAACGGATGAATTCACGGCCCGTTTGAAACGTTTTTCAGTACCACTTTTTTTCCTGGACAGCGCATAACTCAAACCACATCATAAGTCTTATATTTTAGTGGTAGAATATCGTATATTTTTGCTAATTTTCCTAAGATTTTTGAGCGCCGAGAGTCGCTGAGGAATGACGTCAGCACGTATCACTGAATGATGACGCCGTTTGATCATTAAAAAAATCAGCCGTTAAAAAATATCAGAGAATTAGGTCAGCACATTAACACAGCACCAACGGCCATACAATGAGTGTAATTACCGTGTTTTAGATTATATAAGTTTCACAAAGGCGCGACCCGGGCATTAATAACCTGCTCCGACGAGGAGAGAGATGTCCGGTGTTTCCAGCATCTGCAGACGGGAGCTGTAGCCGTTAGACCGGTCCGTCTGTCTGTCTGCCTGGTTTTGGAGACCCGCAAGCCCAATTAACGTGAACGCTAGCTGCCGTAGTCCCGGCCAGGCTGGGGCTGAATGGTTAGCCGGGGAAAGGAGACACATCACCGGACAGAACCAGAAGGCTGTCTGCTGAGACCCAGGAAATTACTCGTCGCCTCGTCTCGACAGCCTGGTAGCAACACAGTGCACATTTCAGTAGTTCCAGTAAGTTTACCGCCAGACATGATCAATAATAATGACTGCCCCGGCTAACACCGGCTAGGTGGCCCTCCTCATATACATGCTACGTGCTGTAGAGCTAAGTTACATGTCCTGTTATGTTAATTTATTGCTTTGACGTTACTTTAAGGAATTAGCTAGCTCACACCTCGAAATTGTTAGTGATGTGCTAACTGTTAATACAAATAATCTCATGGTGGCAGTGCAGAATAGCATGCTGCACACAGTAACGTTATTGTTAACACTATGCAATCTATTCAACGGACTCATCCAGCAATAATAAATCATGAACCCTAGGCATGTTGCTGTGTTGTCTTACAAGTGGGCATTATATTATACATTTGCAATACCTCTATCACAGTGAGTGACTTAGTCGTAATCGGCAATCATCAAGTGAAATTATGATTAATATTAGTCATATCCTGGTGTTGCTTAAAATATTCTGGTGATACAATATGAGCCCTGCTACTGTTGGAAGACCAATAAATTGACTTAAGCTGGATTTACCCTATGATACACTTCAACATATTGTAAATTAAATAGAATAAGACACTAATAATGAAGATGTGGGTGTGAGTTCAGTTCTATAGTTGTCTTTCATGTGGTTTCATATTGTGTCAGGATTTTATAAATCTTAGTTGTCTGAATTAATAACTTCAAATAGGGCTGCAACCCATGATTAGTTCTTCATTTATAAATGATGTTGCACAAAATGTAAAAATAATTTTAAAATGCCCATCACAGTTTCACAAATCTTCCAGTTGCTTGTTTTGTCTGAGCAACAGATCAAAGATATTCAATTATATTCAAAGGAACAATATAATAAAAAAAAACAGAAAAATCAGTGCATGACAGGAAAAAATCTTATTGCAAAATGATTGACTTGCTTATTGATTGCAGGTCGTAGCATTGCCCATTAATGTGAACATGTCTTGCAGCTTTTTTGTATTTTTTTTTTTTTTAAAAATAATAAAAGTGATAAAAGCAAATCTCATATAAAACTGCAATTGTTCAATCTGTTACATCATGCTATTAGTCATCATACTAAATTAAGTGCAACAACATGTTTCCTCCCCATGGGCAGTTTTCACCTGTGTATTTACACACAGTTTACTTATGAAGTATCATGTTTTTAGTCGGCAAAGAAAATATTTTGTTGAGTTTTAGGTTTGTTCTCTATGACTGAAAATGTGCACTTATATTGAATTTCAGAAATAATTGCATACATATGCATACAGTATGTCTTGTTGTTTTACTACACCAAGGTTGTAAGTAGGGATGCAACTAATTACTTATAAATCTATTGGTTGTTTTGTGAAATAATTATTGAGTCTCATTCAAGTCAAAACTAATGGGAACTGTATTGTCATAAAGCATGAGGGCTTAAAATTATTTCATTTGTTTAAATAGGTCATAATTCCCCCCCAAAAAGACAAATCACTTCTCACAATTTATTTTATTGACTTATAAAATCGAAGAAGCTGTGTAAGGCCAATTGTCAAAGAAGTATTTGGTATAAAACATCCAACAGTTAAATCTTTTTATGACAAATCACTAATGACATTTTCATATTTGTGATGTTTCCTTCACCAGAAATAAATAATCCAAGGACTCATGTCGCATGTGAGCAAAACCACCTGACCAAAGACATGTGAGCCTCAACCCTTCTGTCCCAGATCTTCTTCACCCTGAGTAAAAGTAGGCAGAGTTTGCTTTGACGATGTCAAGCCGCCGGAAATCGACCACACCTTGCATGGTGCTGCCCTCTGATGTAGTGGAGCAGGAAGAGGTAGAAGAGAAAACAGAAAAGGCAAAGGAGGAAGAGGCGGAGGAAGAGGAGGGCAAGATAAAGGAGGGAGCAGAGGAGGGGCCGACTGCAGAGGAGCTGAGTCAGGCAGTAGTGGTTGTCCCCACCCCTCCAGATACAGGTGAGATTCTTTTTGGCCCATTCTCCCGTGTGTATATGGCAATGGTTCATTGTTAGTCTGAAATATTCACAAACTGTGTTAATAAATGTATTACTGTTATCATAGATGAGCCCAGTATCTCTGCTGTAGAGGACAGTGAAGTCCTTGCCCCCTCACTCAAACATAGTGCTACAAACCCTCCAGAGGATCTGAGCAGTGAACAGCCAACCCAGGAGCAACAGTGTGATACACCCGAGGAGGGAGGAGCAGACCCTGCCGCGGTGGCTGCCATTTCCCTCAGCAAGACCCCCATTATGAGGATGAAGACCAAATCTGAACCCAAGAGGATCGCCGTGTCCCTGAAATCAGCAGATGAAGCGGTGGAAGGTTTCGGCGTTGGTGGCGAGGGAGAAGTGGGAGGAGAGCAGGAACCCATCGAAGCTCCTCTTGGGCCGATGACGCCCGTGGAGATGCTGCTACACGACTCCATGAAGCTCGGGGGAGGCGGCTTGCTGGTCAACCAGTCCTCAGATCAGCAGAGGAAATCATCAACTTTAAACCCCACAGTTCTGCCTGCTGGACTGGCACAGGTACAGAGTCTTGATTATACAAGGGTATAGTAAAGTCACTGCAGTAGCATGGGTGTGATAATACTCTGTTTACTCCTATCTGTGAAAGAGTAATGCATGTTTTCTGCACTTAAAAACGGTTGGTAGGCTTTGTATAATGGGTGGCCGCAATGCTAGAAATCCTCAACAGAGAGGTTAGATGTCAACAGCAGCCCTGCAGCTGATAGATATCCAATGCCTTGTTCAGAGACTGCAGCTTGCCGAGCAGATCTTGAGCAGTGTCTCCTCTTTGCCACTGTATAGCATTATCAGTCAAGACCTTTCTCATCTCCTACCTCTCTGTCTTTATTTTAGGTGCTTTCTGCTTTCCAGGCCCAGCAGAATGCAGCAGCAGCAGCAGCTCAGCCTCAGCTGTTGATTCCCCTCAGTAGTATCCCCTCCTACAGTGCAGCTATGGACACCAACCCCCTGCTGGGTAGCACATACAAGAAGTTTCCTTACCCCTCCATGGCTGAGATTAGCAGCTTGGCAGCACAGACACAGTTCACAGAGGAGCAGATCAAGGTAGATGAAAGTTGGATGGTGTTTTGGGTAGATTATAGCATATGACACATAAAACAGACACAAACAAGCTCCTTACTCTGTGTATTGTATTGAGTAAGAAGCCACATCAAATCTTGATTTAGAATGTAAGTCTGAAGTTTACTGAATATTGCCTTTTTGTAAATGGTGGAGTCAAATTAACTTGCTCTACACCCAGGTGTGGTTCTCAGCCCAGCGGCTGAAGCACGGTGTGAGCTGGACTCCAGAGGAAGTGGAGGAGGCCCGGAGGAAACAGTTTAACGGCACGGTGCACACTGTGCCTCAGACCATCACTGTCATACCTGCTCATCAGCTCTCGGCAGCTGCCAACGGCCTGCAGTCTATTCTTCAGACCTGCCAAATAGTGGGCCAGCCCGGCTTGGTGTTCACACAGGTAGGTAAGGAAAGAAAACACGCCATATCTAGCAGGACTCAGCTTTGATCTGCCTTGTCTTGAACCCAGTCATCTGAAGACTGGTATAGCTCTGACATGCTTTGGTTTGATTGACATTGACCTAAATCGCCTCCTTTGGTTTGATTAAATGTTGCTTTAGCTGGTCTTAATTGATGTGACTCAACTAAAAATCTGCTTGACACAGCTTCATTTTAAGTGGCTTTGGCTGGAGACATTATGTTTTTTTGAGTCGTCCAATTTCTTCAAATTGTGGCACAAATATCCGGTTGGACTCAAGGACGACCTGGTCACAGGTCAGAGGTCATGTTTGCTGTGACCTCATGTGTCTCATTCTTGTGAATACAGTACTTCAAGATTGAGGAAAAATTTTTCAAATTTGGCACAAACATGCACTTGGATTCAAGGAGGAACAGATTAGACTCTGGTTGTCAATGGTCAAGGTCACTGTGACCTCACAAAACATGTTTTGGGCCATAATGCAAGAATTCATGTGCTAATTATGACACAACTTCAAAAAGAAATGTCTAATAGAATAAAATGATGAAGTGATTAGGAGGATATGATGTGATTTTTCTAAACATTATTCAAAGCCATACCTCAGAAACATAAGGGGAGACATTTGGTCAGACACTGAAATGGTGACTTTAATCTTGGGTGTCCACCTTGAAACTTTGCTGAGTGTATAGATCCTCCGTGCTGTGTGAAGCGTAAATGTTTTAGAAGTTTTAGTTTCTTTGCAGCAACATCCATATTTGCAGTTTTGTCTACTGTCAGTGCTACATATGAGTCCAGATAGACATGGATGCAAACTGTAACTGCAACTTGACTGGTTTATGGAGGTACACAACCACGAGGTGGTAATTCTAGTTTAATTTAACTTGAAACAAGTTGGTTGACTTGGATTGTATTAACAACCTTAGATTGGACATGGACATGAGTTTGACTTTTCCTAATTGAACCAGATTAAATAGGCAGTTATGCCTTTAGAGTTGTAATAGGGCTGGCCAATATAAACTATACACTGTAAATAGTTTGCTCTGACTTGTATTTCACAAATTACAAGAAGTGTAAATCCAGTTACACACCTAAAAACCAGTTTAGGGCTCTGTCCATACAGTTAAGTATTATTAATTGTGGCTACAGTCACTTCAAACTGCACACACACCCCTGTTTGTCTCATCCTCACATTCTGTGTGTCACTATTTTATGATTCTGTGTAGGTCGGCCCAGGGGGGCACCTTCCAGTGACCAGTCCCATCACTCTGACAGTGGCAGGGCTGCCCAGCCAGTCCCAGAGCTCCAGCAGAGTTTCCTGCCAGCCCACCCCGACAAACAGTGAGCTGAAACGGGCTACCACTGTCCAGCCTCCCTCTCTTTCTCCACAGGTGGGGACAGCACGTACTGTTGCCTTTCAGGAAAATACTTTTTGCTCGTGTGCTGTCAACAAGCGAGTTTCTGATTTTTTTTTTTTTTTTTTTACCTCAGTCAGGGCACAAGATTACTACATGGTGTCTCTGTCAGTTTTTTGTAATGTATGCGTTAACTCAAAAAAGTTGCACACAACTCATCTGTAGACATATTGTCTTTCTGTCAGCAGGTATTTGGTACCTCTGTATACAGAATAACACTGTAGAAACCCTTATTTAACATATACATCTCCCTTTCCTTTTCTAAGGAGAACTCAGCCCTCAGTGCTGACACATTCAGTTTGCGGCCGAAGAAGTCCAAAGAGCAGCTGGCAGAGCTGAAAGCCAGCTACCTGAAAAACCACTTTGTCACTGATGCAGAAATCGCCCGGCTGATGAAGCTCACCAACCTCACAAAGGGAGAGATCAAGAAATGGTTCAGTGACACCCGGTACAATCAGCGCAACTCCAAAAACAGCCATGTCATTGTTTTCCACGACGGAGGGGGCAGAGGAAGTGGCAGCTGTGGTAGCACTGCAAGCACCGCCATTGTTATTGACTCAAGTGATGAGACCCCCACATCTCCCCATCCTCCGCGCACTCCTCCTGTGAAGGAGAAGGAGACACGGACCAAAACATGGAATACGTTCCCAGATTTTACCCTGCAGAAGTTTAAGGAGAAGACTCCGGAGCAGCTGGTGGTGCTGGAGGAAAGTTTCGAGAAGAGCAGCACCCCATCAGATGAAGAACTGAGCCGCCTGAGGACAGAGACTAAACTGACGCGGAGGGAGATTGATGCCTGGTTCACTGAGAGAAGAAAAATGCCATCTGTCAGTACTTCCTCCCCAGATTCTTCAGAGGGAGGAAAGATTGAGACAGAGGGAGCAAAAGTAGGAGAAGGAGCAGGACCCAGCTCTTCCTCTCCTACTGCCTCCACATCTCGTAAAGGTAGTCAAACTCCTCCAGGCAGTCGCAGTAAGCAGCTGCCAAGCAGCAGCAACAAAGACATGAAAGATAAGAGTAAAAAGACTCCGGAGCAGCTCCATATTCTGAAAAGTGCCTTTGTGCGGACCCAGTGGCCCACACCAGAGGAGTACGACCAGCTGTCAGAGGAGAGCGGCCTCCCTCGGTCCTACATCGTCAGCTGGTTTGGGGACTCTAGGTACTCGTGGAAGAACAGTAACTTGAAATGGTTCTTTCAGTACCAAAGTGGCAATGTGGAAGGGCCAAATGGCGGAGGAAGCAATAAAATGGGAAGCAGTGGCGGTGGCGGTCGAAAAAGACGTGGCCGAAATCGTGGTTGGGGGCGGTCTCGAACCAGAAAGCAGCCAAGAAGGTCTGCCTCCTCCAGTGCAGATGTGGATAGATTTCCCCCATCGAAGAAATTCAAGAGTGGGAGGGAGATTCTGAAGGAGTACTACATGAAGTACCGTTTTCTCAATGAGCAGGACCTGGATGAGCTTGTCGCTAAGACCAACATGAGCTACGAACAGGTAATGATATGCTTTTCTGTTTGGATGTGAGAAGACTTAGGTATGTGTCATTGTGTCTTGTATCCTGTCATTGTACCCCTTCATATGTGCTGTTTCCGTTTCATCTATAGTGTGTATTTTGTTTCCCAGTTGCTCACACTGTACGGTCAAATCAAGTGACATTTATTCATGTAGTCCATAATCACAAATTTGCCTCAAAGGTAGTCATTAGTAGTAGTTAGTTCTTATAGAGAAATGATGACACAATGACATTCCCAGTATATGATATGAATTTGGTTTACTGTGTGCTTAAGAGAAATGTCCGCCTGACAGAGCAGCTAAATCAGTCACAGTGTAAAACTTTCATCTCGGGCTGCACAATATGAGGAAAACATGCAGTAATGTTGAATATGGTGATAACAATATGACGTGATAAATCAACAGATATTAAAGTGTACTTATTTCTGCCTTTGTATTGCTTTTATTATGCTGCAAATTAAAAATAAAAAATACAATTAAAAATTGAAATTAAAAAAATACTCTATTGTGTGGCCCTATGTTACCCCCCAGTAACATGAATTCTAAAGAGCAACAAGCTAAAGGTTTGACTGATGTTCTGCACATTAAGCTTGTTTAATACTGGGATTTGTGTATTTTTTTAATGTACGTAAAACATATTTTAATACATGTATATAGGATAGCCGACATGAAGAAGCTCTTAGTGGAATATGTATGTATAAACACTCTCAGAAAACACTTTTAAAATCTTAAATGAATGGTTGTCAGGATACATGGCCCGTAACCAGGAAATACTGAGCTCATGAGAGCAAAGTCCTCTGGCAGAAATCCAACCAGCCGTGAAATTTTTTATCAACCCAACTTTTGAGTATTTGAAAATTGAGTTTATACAGCCATTCATTATATTTATGTAGATGTTATCTTCCTGCACTGTGGGCTAAAGGTCACATCAAAGTTTTCTCTGAACTGCCAAGTATGTAATTCAGGTGGAGAATACTAAATACTGTTTATTTTGAATTGATCGTTTATTCTTTTTTTGTGTCTGACACAGACAAATGTTAAAATGTTTAGTCCAAAAACATTATCAGAATTAGCCATAAATATCTATAAAGTGACATGTGTCTAGTTTTGCAGTGCAGACTCGTCTTCTTGTAAATGAAACACAGCAGTTAACAGGCACTATGAAGATCAAAACTGTAAAAGAAAGAACCAAAAACAAAATCCTACATCCTTATTGTTGACCACTTTGACTCACTTTATTAACACCTCAGTCCAAAGTCTGTCATCACATAAAATTTATATGAATTCCTAGAGATATCACAGAGGACATGACCCTGTTGTCTGTGATAGTAGCTACAGCCCTGCTGTCATCACACAGTTAACACCTTTCTCTCTCTCTGTCAAAAGGTGAGGGAGTGGTTCGCCGAGGTCCAGCGACGCTTGGACATGGGGGCAGATCCCTTCGTGGAGGCGACTGGAGGAAGGACAGATGGAGATGAAGCAGGAGAGGGAGGGGTTATGCAAGGAGAGGCGTCGATGGCCATGGAGGAACAGAGCGGCACAGGAGCAGGAGACGAGGACGATGACGATGAAGGAGATGAGGAGGACGACGGTGATGATACAGACGACAGTGAGGTTTGGGAGCCGTCACGTAGCGTCAGGAAATCCTTGTCAGTCTCTGAAGACTAATGATTGTGGAGAGCACGGTGAAACATTACAGAATGTTACAAGAGAGATGGTGGTATGGTAGATGCTGGAAGACAGTTAGCTAAACCATGTCCTTTTGCCACTGATTTGCATCATGTGCTCATTCGCATTATGAATTCACTGTATTTAAATATTTCTGACATCACGTCTACGTGAAACTAACACATGGACTATTAGCTTTAGCTCACTCTCTCAATACTTATCGTATTCACTGTAAGTAATTTGTAACAATTCAAAAAAGAATCATGCGAAAGAAGCAAACTTCGATAAAGCCTAAAAAACAAATGTTTTGTCAAAAAGAATACCATAAAGTGCAATCTTCAAGCTGAAGATGATGAAACCTGTTGAGATGAAATAGGTACCTTAAAAGATGGTGTATCCAGACACATTGATACATTTGATTGCACCTGATAAATACTGTGAGATTTATTATCGCCCCTTGTTAAATTTGCACTCCTTGCTTGCTCAAATGGAGCCAGTGAGGGAGATTTATTTAGTTATGCTGCATTTCTTTGGAGCCTGTTTTGTGCACAGCAGGCCTAAATTCAAACTTCAGTCTCCAGTGTTATGAATGTTCCATCCCTGGTCCCAAACTAACAGCACACACACACACACACACATACACACACACACATAAAAAAAGACTTGTGTGTTTACAAAGGTGCTTAAAATCGTATCACAACTAGATGTCACTGCTGAGCAATGTCTCCAGTGAAACAGCATACATCTACTTGTGGAACTGCTTGATTTTACATGTTACAGTATCTTTTCTTTCTAGCACCTGTGAAGATCATTGCAAGGACCGGATGTGAATCAGCAGGTTGTTTGAGCTGATCGATAATGACACTGAAAGTCGGGTGTTTTATCTCCCAGAGATAAATGCCTCAAACGATATGAGACAAAGCACCTTACTGCTGAATGAATGCCAATGCCGTGATGCTTTTAAAACACAGGATGTCTACTCAAGTCTTCCCTTTATAGCAGCTTGTTCTTTCATTAGTATTAATAGTAGATAGATTTTTTTTAGCTGAACACATACAGATCTGATGGAAAAACGCCACAGTATGTGTTTGGTATGCACTGCTAGTAATGTTTTTAAAGTAATTTTTCACCTTTTGATAGAACACATCCTGTGCTAAGGGTGATTCAGACAGTAGGCTGTTGTTCCAAAGTTGAATGTGTTGTCTCCCAAGCAGTGAGCTGCAGTTTACAAGGCACCATATGTGAACAAAATAATGGCCACTGTGAGGCAGACATTTGGGTCCACCGAAATAACAATAGAAACCGATATAGTTTGCTGCAGTGTTTTGCTTAGAATGAACTTGAGGTGGGTTTCTGATGGGTACAATTGATGGTCTGAACTGGGGCATTGCAAAGTTTTTCCCAAACCATGTAAATGTAAGCACCAGCTGCAGCCCTGTTGTAAATTTAAAGTAAGTCAATCCATGAGTTGTCACCTTGACTGCAATCACCACCAAATCACCAACACCTTGCCTTTAGGTTTGGGCTCATCTGCTCATGTCAAAAACAAGGCCTGTGAATCTTTTTGGGTCTTGACCCATACTTTAAGAAATACTGTTAAAATGGAAACAGACACCCCCTCCCATCATATCTTAGTGGTATTATCTTTGGCACCACTGTCACAAAACCAGTCATGCCTTGATGGTAACCCCAGATTCTCAAAAATCTGAAACATGACATTTTATGTTACATGTTTCAAGTCATTCTAACCTAAACCATCATCTTTCCCTAACCCTAATCAAGTGCTTTTGTGCCTAAACTTAACCAGACCTTAACCACAGCATTGACATGCCATAAAACAGCGAGATAACAATATACTGCAGCTGCTTACGAGAATTTCACAAATCTAGGGTTACCATTTAGCCATGACCCGCAAAGACATCCAGATTGCTTTCCGTTTTCCTCAGAGCCTAGCGAAGGGGCTCCTTTTCTTTTGCCAGGTAGAGTTTCCACAGTTACTTCGGTTGCTTCGTGGTCTGCCATTTCCACTAAACTAACTAGTAGATAGTAAGTGCATAGAACTTACACTGATACTCTTCGATAACTGGGGATAGCTACCAATAGCTATAACAGGAAAACATAAGCGCCATCCTCTTCCTGTTTCGGTAGTGCAGTGGTTGATGCACTTCCTTTGTGCCGTAAATGGAGCCTTCATTTTCCCTGGAGATGGTGCCGGGTGGCAGACATAGCTGCATAGTGACAGCAAGGCTTCAGTGGAACTAGGGCTAGGCAGTTTATCAATCATTATTATCATCATCATCATCATTATCATTATATCAAAGGCTGCATTACAGTAAAGTGATGTAATTTTATGAACTTTTAGCTATTCTATTGCCCCATTAGTCATTACTGGTGATTATCAAAAAGACACCAGTCGTACCAGATGTATTTGGTCAAAAACATCCTGATATTTGATTTCCTCCATATCGCCCAGCGCTGATAGGGAACCCATCTAAACACTGATGCTGTCATTATTCTATAGCATACATTGTGCAATCAACATTTACTCCTCAATGATACGTTAAAACAAATTGTCTATTTCCACTTTAAACAGTATTTCAAATAATAATCTGACTCCAGTCTGCACTGAAGAGATAAACATGAAGCACCTAAACTAAACTTTTAAAAAATGCACTTTGTCCACTTGTGTACACGGTGGACTAAATCCTGATTTGGCACCTTAATCTCTTATTATACCATAAAATGGCTCTGAGAGACCAAATCTGTTTTGTATGACTACAAACTGAACCAGTATTTTGCCTTTTTTTTATCCTCTGTGTGTTGTCAGGAGGAAGAATCAATTTATCCACTTTTCTAACAATATGTGTTGTTTCATAGTTGGATGTGTGTAAGGCTCAAAAACCCAGTAGAACAATCACCCATTGCTTTCTTCCGCTAAATTGCACAATTTGAGCCCCATTTTTAAGCTTTTGTTCTTTTGAAAATGCACGTGTTATATTTGTTGTCATGTTTTGTATTGTTGCTTTAAACTATGGGAATTTCTCCCATCTCTCCTTCTATGCTCCCACATATGCCCCCGTCTGACTCTTACCCCTCTCCTCCAGTTCACTTTTGTAAAATGAATGCCTAGACTCATGATGTGCACTTCCCAAGACATGTTTCTGTAAATGTTAGCAGTGTCCTGTCGGTTCTCTGTCTCAATTAATTGCCTACAACATCTGACAGACAGCTAGACAGGGCTATAGGGACATCTTCAGAAGACTGAAATTGTCGGAAAAATTAAAACAGACATTCTTTGAAAATTCACTTTCTCTCGTGGAAGGAATTGTTGTGAAGAAGCAGCACAGCATTCCCTCTGTGGTGGGAAGTCTACCAAATAACGCTCCTCTTTCTAACTGTTTTCCTCACGCTTTACCGCATTGAATCGACAGGACAATAGTCCCACAACTGTCTCGACCACGGTTCTTCACAAATAGGGGAGAGACCCTGATGAAGCTTTGCAGATAAACCTATGTGCCTACGTGGCTCGTACGCTTGTTTGAACAGAATTTCACCGACTCTCGACAGATGACGATAAGAGAGAATTTGCTTTGGAAATCACACTGTTGAGTGATTCGTAAGGAAGGCTTGTTCAAACTAAGTTGTGATGCATGACCGAGCTCTGCTTTCTGCCGACGCTAAAAGATGCCTAGATACTCTGAAGTTGACTTTGGAAACTTCTGTTGTAAGTCCTTAAACGGATACCTTGGTGTTCCGAATTTTAATGTATTTTTTTTCACCAGGCACTTGTCACACTACACGTTGGCACCTTTAGCTGTCCGAAAAGCAGTTTAATGAGTAACCTTGAAAGCAATGTTGTCTGCTAGCTGTAAGATAGCTACGATAGCTTTTTTTTTATAGCGAAGGAGAGCTTGATACATTTTTGCGTAATGTGACAAGTGCTTGGTCATGAAAAACAACAAATTCAAAATGTTAAGGTATACCTTTTGTCTAATACTGCATGCAATAATCAAGATGAACAACTGCTCATTTTGTACATACAATATTTTGGGCTGGTATACTTGGCACAGTAGAAGCCAAATCTGGGATTAATTCTTTGTGTAGCAGTAATAATACCAGTTCATTTCCAAGTTGACTGCAACCATGGGCACATTTTTGGCTCATTGCTCTAAACTGTTATCACAACAATTGCAGTTATTCTACAGCAAATCTTTTGTGCCCTTTTGATGAATCCTGGTACTGCGCCCACTTCTTCCTACACCTGCTACAAACTAGCTGTCCACAGTTAGCTTGTTTTAGTCCACAGGTTAGGCTTAATCCTGCCTCCAGGTATCCAGCCCACAGTCTTTTACAGTGTGCTCTGTCTTTACTATAGTCTGTCTGTTTTGAATGGTTTTATATGTTTCTATCTATGAAAACTGTGTCTTTACAACTCTTTCCAGACATCAGTGGATTGCTTGTTAACAAGACAAACTCATACGATATGTACAATAGAGTAGTGTTTTTTGAAATAGAAACAGTTTTAGAGTTCAGCCAGTGTTGCCCAAGTGGCTTTTTGGTACTTTGTTGCAAAAAATATGAAATCAGAACTCAATAGAGGAAGACATGCACTTAGTTGAAGGAATTGCTAAAATAATGTCCTGGTCGCAAGGTGAAAAAGTTTTGTGTTTTTTTTGGTGCTGATAATGTGTCCAGATTTGAGGCTTTACAACTAAATTGTTGTATAAAGGTGCATTAAATTATTTAAAATCAACAAAGCTGCTTAAAGGGGCACTCCACAGATTTTACGCATGAAGTTAACTCATTATGAGGAGTACAACTCAGCTTAAAAAATGACGGTTGTGTAATGTCTTCTGTGGCTCAAAATAACCCCGACAATGTCACAGTGATGTCATTAGGGTCATCTCAGACTTGAAGGTGCAGTGTGTGGGATTCGGCAGGATCTAACAGCAGAAACAGAATATAACATTCATAATTATGTTTTCATCAGTGTTTAATACAAGAAACAAAGCATTGTGTTTTCAGCTTAGCGTAGAGTGAGCCATTTATATATCTACGTGGGGACATGGCCTTTCTTAATATTTAGACATGCCGTTGTCACTCACCCAATAAAAACATAAGGACTTTTATTTGACAAAATTAAAGACATTTTCACCATAAATTGATGCAGAAAAAGTGTAAATTTGTGTATATAAATTCACCAGAGAGCAAGAAATTAACCCTATGGGCCCGAACGACGCACAGTGCGTCCAAATTCACACCCGTTCTTCTCTGTGGATTTTCTCCGTGACTGTGCGTCATAGCGAGAAGCCACGCATATCACGTGAAACAGCGGAACTGTAGCTTTCCGAGAAGGCCAAGCACTTGTCGGTAGTCCAATGTTTTCACAGCAAAAAAAAAAGATAAAGTTACACTAAAATGATGTATAACAGAGCTTTCATACAGCTTTGCACACACATTACTCTTGGATGGATTACTCATTAGTGCAGGCTCGCACAGAAATGCCACGCATATCACATGAAAGCGCAGGAGCAGAGCTTTCCAGGGATACCACACACATCATTGTACTGTCATCCCATCACGCTATAAATACAGATTTATTGTCTACAAAATAAAAACTTGACGAATTTCTTTACAATCCATTATACAGCTCATGTTATCAGTCACTTCATATAGTGAGGAATATCGTATCTTACCACGTCTTAGGCTTGCGTGTGTTTCTCCCTGTCTATCCACATTTGTAGTCCGGCTTTCAAGATGCAAATATCTCCATATTGTCCAGTTGACACTCCATCTAACTTTGTATGCCAAGACCAGCCACTTCACCTTGCGCACCCAGACAACTGCAGCCTAATGCATGCTGACAGGGCCGTAGTCACCATACACATTGAGGGGGACACGTGCCCCCACCAATGCCCAAAATGCCCCCCCAATATATAACTGAAACTGAAAAACAAATATTATCTTGGAGGACATCATTGCACTTGGTTGACTATTTTTCTATTATCTTAGATGTAAATATTGCATGTTTCTTTCAGATAAAACACATTTTTGACTTGTGAATGAGTCAATGGAATTTCTTGCAATAATGAAAAAATACTGGCAATCATGTCCGCCTGGCACAAACCACATGTTTTGGACAGCTGTGAAGTGACAGAATGTCCCAGCATCATGGTTCTTATATTGCCAGATTCCAGAGACTCTCCCCTCTTCATATATGGTAGAATATGTCTTCTTCCAACTTGCTGTGGTGAGATACATGTAAAAATGTAAGAATTTAGTCACACGGATTTGTTTTTTTCATTGATATAAAAATTAATATAAAATACAGGCAAACAGAAGGACATGTAATGATGGCAAATCTGGTTAGCCCAGATTGTCCTGAAAAAAAAAAAACAGGATATAGCATGTGTATGTAGCCTTTATAATGACTGTGATATGAGCTTAAAAGTAAAGGCAGTAAAAATACCCCAAAAACGCCTAGGGCCCATAGGGTTAATAGTTTGAAGCTCAAAACATTCTTGTGGAGGACCCCAAAATCTCTCGTTTCACATGTGTTCCTCCCCAGTGTGAACTGAAACCTGCACCCTTGCTACATAGGGCGTGTGT